TCAACCAAACGCAAAAAATGGAAGTTAATAATTGTATTATCAATTTTTATAATAACCAGAAATAAAAATACTTTTTCCTATTTTTAATTTATTTGATTGGTGTGAAATTGCAGAGTGCTGCAATTTTGCACACTGTGAATAAGGCTTAACAAATGAAAATTGTTTTACAAAATGGTTGCTATCAATGACGTTGCTATGTGGTAAAGTGTTGCTATCGAGGTAAAGTGGCACTTTACCACTCAATTTTGAATGCAGTTATGTACATAATTACTGTCAAAAATGCGATAAACGAAATTTTGCAAATGGGGTTTTATTTTTATCTGATCTTATTTGAAAATAAATGACACTTCATCAAATCAAATTTGAAATCCGTCGTTTCGTCTTTGGGCCACCTTTTCAGCTAAAAAGGACATTCTATTTTTGGATTTTCATCAAAAGATGCCGGTGTAAACCCAGTCATTTCGATTGAGTTGATAAAGAACGCCATTTATGACCAAATAAGTCAACTATAGAAATTGCATTGGCTAGCTTTGGGTGCGTTTATATCAGAACATTATAATAATATAAAGATTAAAAAAAAAAAACTATTATTTTTAAAACTTACTGATCATAATAGTAGAAAACAGAAATATGCTTATATCTTCGAAGATTTTTCTTTAAAAAGGTAAAATTTTCAATTTATTTGAAGGAGGGTTGAAGCAAGTGAAATTTTTGGTTAAATAAAAAGGTTCAACTTTGCGGCTCAATTGCCCAGAAAGTGTTCGAGCTATGAAACTCAATTTATATGGATATTTTATTTTGATTTGCTTGAATTTTAATGAGAATTGAGATTTTCTTTTTTGACCTTGTTTTCTGTTTAAAATGATGTAAGATTGTTTTCTGACTTATTTAGAACTGCTCTGTCGATTGGAAGAGTCAAATTTTGAAAAATTTCAAAAATAAAAATTTCGATTTTTTTCAAGATGGATTTTTATTTCAAAATCTTTAAGCTTCAATATCTTGAAATCCATCAGAGATAGTGAAACAAAATTTTCAGGAATTGTATCTCCTATCAAACTCTAAAAAACTTGTATTGGAAAATATTTTCATGTTTATAGTTTTTGAGAAAATTGAGTTTGAAGTTTTTGACTTAATTTCGACTAAAATTCAACTTTGAGGCTCAATTTCTCAAGACGTATTTGAGCTATCAAACTCAATTTACCACAGATATATAGAGACTTTAATGCTCTTCCTAATAATGTATAATTTATTTTAATTTGTTAAAATTTTAATGGAAATTTCCCTTGTGCATATTTAACTGGAAATTTACCTCGTAATTTTCAAAAATTGAAAAGTGGAAATATCCCTGGTGAGCGGGATATTTCCGGGTGCAATTTCCAATGCGACGATGCCGCACGGCGTCCGTTGGAAACCCACTTTTATGTTGTCATTTTTGTCATTTAGACCAGCTCATAGAGAAATATAATAAACCAAGGTGAGAGTTACCGATTCTGTGGTGCGACACTGGCATCGCGATGACGTCATATCGATACTAGCGCCCCTATCCACTACAAGACCAACTTAAATAATATTTGGCGGGCTTTTTGAACTTTCAGATTAGAGTCTTGTTATTTTTGAAGGTATAAATCTAGCATAGCGTTTTTCCGCAGTCGACAGAAAAAAAAAATGCGGGAAAACGCTGGCCTGGAAACAAAAATAAATAATCAACAAATTTACATGAAGTAATCTATATTATTTTGATCATTGGCAAAAATTACAACAAAAAAAAGCGAAAACATCCCACTTTTCACTAATAATAGGTTAGTATTTATTAATTATTATTTTTTACGCATGAACTTAACGATTTTCACATTGTAAATCTAATAGTCCAGGAGGTGGCGCCAAAAACATGCAAGAGTTTTCGCAAGGCGGATATTTTCAAAATAGGTCGTACTTTAGTGCTAGAATACTAGTGTACAGTCAGCACTCACAGTTCCGGGACAGCTGGCTCTGGGACGCGGGCAAAGTCGTAATTTTAAGAAGCATCTAAACTGTTTTCTCAAAGCTCAAAATTTATAGAAATTTTGCACATTATCTGTTTGAAGGTCACAGATAACGTATGTAAATCGTCAGACGTCTAGTTCGTTGCAAAAAGGGGGTCAGACGTCCTCAAAGTTTTTATTTTATGGCATTTTCTTCAAATATATTTGTCAAATACCTGCAAAAATATATTTTGACAGGACACCGAAGAAAATGCCATAAAATAAAAACTTTGAGGACGTCTGACCCCCTTTTTGCAACGAACTAGACGTCTGACGATTTACATACGTTATCTGTGACCTTCAAACAGATAATGTGCAAAATTTCTATAAATTTTGAGCTTTGAGAAAACAGTTTAGATGCTTCTTAAAATTACAACTTTGCCCGCGTCCCAGAGCCAGCTGTCCCGGAACTGTGAGTGCTGACTGTACACTAGCATTCTAGCACTAAAGTACGACCTATTTTGAAAATATCAGCCTTGCGAAAACTCTTGCATGTTTTTGACGCCAGCTCCCCAACTATAACCAGAATCATGTATTTTTAATAAACTACCTAATTAATTTAAGGTTCACTCATTTGTGTCAGTTTTGAAAAAAGAAAATGTCATTTCATAGGTTGGAAATCGCAATGTACAATAAATAAAACCCAATGTCCTCTCTTCCTTTATTATCACATCTGTTAAAAAGAGACAGATATAAGAATGGGAAGCGATGTCAGAATTGTCAGATAGTTCCAAGCTATACTAGCGCCACCATGTGCTACAAGAAATACGTTGCCAGTTGGCGCATATGAATCGGTAACTCTTACCTTGGTTTATTATAATTCTCTATGGACCAGCTTTTCCATTTAAAACGTATTGATGTCAGAAATCTGTCAAAGTGTATATTTTTTGACAAACGCAATTTAAATGGGAAAGATCAATAACAATCGCCATCACAGAACACATCACCATATTTAAAATATTTGACACAACTTATAGTAAATAAACTTCAAACTCGGGAAATTTCCTATCAAAATATAACACGTGCATAAAATATTTCCTATGGGAAATTTTTTAAAATTTCGTCTTTAGTCAATTTTTTTAAACAAAACCATTCGTGCATAGCGCCAAAGAAAAAATCTCGAACCCGAATCACATGTTTTACTTTCGCTTTCGCTTGCCTATTCAAGTTAAAAAAAAAATGGATTTTCGTAGGGCGGAGAATGAAAAACATGTTGCATTACTTTTGTTTTAGCTTTGACGTTGACAGAAACTGTCTGACCTAAGTTTTTCAGAACAGACTTTTTGTTGTTAAGCCTGACTCACACTAGGCAAATTTAAAAAATATATATTGCCTGTATCAGTTTTATGTTTGGCCAAGTGTACCTCCTTTGGATTCTTATTTCAAAATCTTTAAGCTTAAATATCCTGAAATCCGTGAGAGATATTGAATCAAAATTTTCAGAAATTGTAGCTCCTATTAAGTTCTAAAGAACCAGCATTGAAATAGTTTTTCTGCGCGCTGAGGATCTGTGAAAAACTTTTTCGCACGCTGTGCGACAAACTCTATTTTCGAAGATTGCCTAGCGTGTGAAAAACTCCATTTCCAGAGGCAGTTGTAGGAAAAATATTTTCAGATTTATAGTTTTTGAGAAAATTGAGTTTGAATTTCGACTAAAAGTCAAAAAGTATCTGACCTATCAAACTCAATTTAGCACAGATTTATAGAGAATTTTATGCTCTTTCTAAAAGTGTATAATTTATTTTGATTTGTAGCACCCTGCATATATCCTATTCTCTTCAAAGTTCAAAAATTAAAATTTAACCGATCCCCGTTATTTTGTATTAGGTCTCTATTCAACTTGCAGGCTGAAATAATGTACTTTACTGAACAAAACGAAATTGGGCCACTTTATTCGATGTAAATAATGTGTTTCAACAGGTTGTCGTTTGTAAACAGATCACGTTTAAGCATTTTATTATGCTAAATCGTTTTAAAAGGTCGTATTTAAAACAGATTTAAAACTAAAAGAGGAAAAACCATTAGGCAGTTAGGTATCGAATTAATTCTTTTGAATCTTCAAACGGATTTTGATTAGCGAATTTAGAATCAATTAATTAAGTAAAGTAACATTGGATATTTTTGTGTGTATTTTAAATCATATTTTGGATTCGTTCATTGACATCCCTAATTTTAAGTGCACTCAGTACTATCGTTGGTACTATTTAAAATCACTAAAAGTTTGGTAGTTACCTTTATATACCTACCTACCAATATAATAATTTACACATTAATATCATACAAAGGGTTAACCAAGATCTTATTATCGGTTAGGTAGAAAAAGTGTTAACAAACAAAGCACCACTAAACATATCAGTTTGGGGTTTCCATAGATTAGAGATATTTGATATAAATGTACGTAAATTATCATATAGTACTCGATGACTTTCAGCACAGGTAATAATTTGGTACTTACTGGAAAGAAGAGTTTTTATTAGAGGGGTGGGTAATAAAAAGGTAATTCATTGTCAATGATAGATATCTAGGTATATGAGGTTTGAAAAATGGTATTTGAGATAACGGCAAAAACTTGACTTTGTAATCTAAATTATACCTATAATTTGAAATATTTTAGGAATGATAATAAAACAAAAAAATTACATTTTTCAAATATTTATATTTTTTTTATACGACAAGAATGCAAGAAATCAAAATTATGTAATGGCATGGCTATCAATTATTTCACAGTGCAGATTAAAATATTGATAAACATATCACAATAAAAATCACATCAAAAGACAAGCAATCATGTTGCAGTACAATATGGATACACACACAAATAGACATAAGAAAGGTATCTAAAGAACATAAAAAGTTAAAAATCAATATCAAATAAGATAGAAGTTCATAATATACAAATAGAAACATAGGTAGGTAGGTACTTAAAATAAAAATAAATCTACGTGAAATGCAAAACGATATGAATATGGAAATTAATCTTCAATTTACAGCCTTTGACATCGACTTTTGTTTCATATTCTGGACAATTTTATTTACCTCAGAAACTTGCAAAAGCGTGACGCAGGGTAGATTGCACCCCGAGAGCCAGTGCAAGAATTTTTCTCCGTGAGCCAGGCCATCTTCTTCAAATATCTCATCATTGGTTTCGTCTGTGATCATTCTATCCTCATCTTCTTTTTGACTGGTTGAGGTAAAATCGTAGCTTTTTTCAGTAACATTACTATGATGGCTCAAGTCTAAGGGTTCGTCTTGGGGCCTGTTGAGGTTTTGTATCTGCTGATTGTAAAACCAGTACATAGAAAATGTTGAAGAGTTGTCGATGCCTAGTTGATGACCCCATGAATCAGGTCCTACTTGGAATTCACTTTCTCTACTAAACGATCCAGTACGAGTTGTAATAGGTTTGCTTTGTGATGCAATATGCGTAAGTTGTTTTCCGATGGCCGCAGCAGCCGCCATACCAGAGATCTTTTCTTCATTTTTCACCCAGCCTTTCAGAGTTGAATCAGCAACATCCAAGTCCCTGGCTACAGCGGCTTTCGTTTCCCCATTCACTTTCACTCTTCGAACGGCTGCCAATTTTTCTTCCAAGCTGAGCACTCTACGTGGACGTCTTCCAACCATTCCCGACATTCTAACCGTTTTTGAAAACTTTTGATACGGAATAAAAACGATATTGACACTACCGGAAGCGTTTGTTGAACTGATGATTTCAGCAATGCACAGGGATATTTATGTCGAACTTTGACAGGTAAAGTTGACCTGTTGGGCGGTAGGTACAAATTTCCTGAAATTATGCTCTGAATAATTTATGTAGGGTTATTGCATTATTTATGCAAAATCTGGATTTCATTTTAAATTAACTGGTACTGCGTAATTTGAGTTAGACGGCTTTTTTTAAGAATTATCAAATTCAGTTTGAAATATCTTAAAATCATCTTGATTTTTGTTCCACAGAAAATTCTATTGTGATTTTTTTTGCATTTTATAATTTATTTTGATTAAATCTTATACTTACTGGGTGTTAATGAATAGTGGGATCAAACTTCTAGGATAAATAGTACTCATTAAAATAAGAAAAAAGTTACTAGAAACATGGGTTCGCAAATGCTTAGTTTTCGAGATACAGGGTGTCTAAGCTTGAAAAAATCGGTTTTTCAAAAACCGTTTCCCGAATTTCTTTAAACCTGGCAGATTTGTTTGTAATGACGAAAGGTATCTTTTGACTCAATTAGATTTATCGTAATTATTCCAGTGGCGCCACAGAACGCAACTACGTTGGTAAAAGTTGAAAAAAAAATGGCACGTCACTAGTTCTTTATAACTTTGATACTTTTTCCAGATTAGACAAGTCATATTACAGTACCTTTTGCTATCACAAACAAACCTACCCAATTTGAAGAAAAAAAATTGGAAAAGGGACTTTTGAGCTAAAAACCCGATTTTTTTTTAAAACTTTGACATCCTGTATTTCGAAAACTAAGCATCCGCGGACCCATGTTTTTATTAACTTCTTTCTAATATTAATGAGTAATATTTATCCTAGAAATTTGATCCCATTATTCATTAACACCCTGTATATTTTTGTGTTCAAAAAGTGACATGAATGCAAAAAGGTTTTCAAGAAATTTGAAACATTTAAGAAAAAAAAGTAAGAAATACAAAATTTCTCAAAGCAATCCGCATCACGATATTATCTTTTTTGGCTTTTGAGATATTTCCTGGAAAAATATGATGCCTACTTTTGCATGGAACTCCCAGTATTCGAGGACAATAAAAGATTACCTGCTCGAATAATTATAGCTTTCATGAGGGGTGCAAATGATTATTAATAAGCTAAAGTAAAGTGGCCCATGTTTTTTGAATACAATCTTAATTTAAAGAAGTGATTTTTGTTTATATTCATAATTATGATTTCTTTTTAGCCAAGAATTATGGTATCCGCACCAAAACAATTCAGGGTTGGCAAAAATCCGAAATCCGGCTATTTGTATTATAGTGGATAGAGAATTGGATTTTTGGTTTGGATTTTGATGTTTTTGGTGCATTTTTATGTACTACAACCTAACAGTTTCGAACTGATAACTAGAAAAAGTATCAAAGAGCGCTCAAAGAATATTTGAAATATTTCTGATAACTTCTAAAACATTCCAGCACTTCAAAATCATTAGGGAACCAATTGAAAACTTTGGAAAGCATTTTGAAAAGCTTCAGAATGCGATAGCACCAAGTTAGAACATTTTTAAGCATTTCAAGACGCTTTAGGCAGCGGTTCCCAACCGGTGGGTCGCGACCCCTGAGGGGGTCGCTTAGTGTTTTTGGAGGGGTCGCAATGCCAATAATAATATATATTTTTCCGCATTTGGCAACACGCCTTAGCCTCTGCCCCAAAAGCCGCGCAGTGTTGCATTGGTCTTTGTTTTTGAACATAGGTAGATGCATAATGGCTGAAGCATCAGAAACAGAAATTGTGGAGAATCTAAAAGAGAACAATTGATTATAACTTTCAGTCCCTTGAGAATGAAATGGGCGTTATTTTCCCGAGTTATCTGAACAAAAACCTGCAGTAGTAAGGAACCCGTTTCAAGCCTCGTTAGATGTTGCCAACGTTCCTGATGAAGTGCAGGATAAATTTTCACAGCTAAGGAATGATTCCACAGCACCTGCCCTATTTCAGGAAAAATTCTTGACTGAATTTTGATGTGCCATGTGCCATGCATAGTTCATATCCTTATGTCGTCCTGCTTGTGTTTTTTCTTCGGATACTAATACCATTTGCCTCTACCTACCTTCGTGAAAGTGGTTTTTCAACTTTTTTGCAAATTAGAACAAAAGCCAGAAATATACTGGGAGTTCAAGATGACATAAGATGCTTAAACAAAAAATCAACCAAGAATTTCAAAACTTGTTACGGAGATGCAAGCTCAGTTATCACATTAACAAAATGAAAATTGTCTTTTTGTAGGTATTTAGTTACAAAATATTAATATTTTTGTTATAGATTTCTCAAATAAATGAAATTTTGGTTTTAATTTATTAATGGGTAGGGGGGTCGCGACCTTATGAGCAAATCTGTAAAAGGGTCGTGACTAAAAAAAGGTTGGGAACCACTGCTTTAGAGCAATTTAGAACTTTGAAAAGCTTCAGAAGACTTCCAATTTTCAATCCTCCTGCATTTGTTTGAGACAGATTGGAATCTTTAAAAACATTGTGAAACGTTATAGAACACTTTAGAACCAATTTAGAATTTCCGACACATTCGAGAATAGACCAAAACACTTCTGAACTTATTAAAATTTCAATTAGAAGTATCAAAAAGCGTTTAAGAATATTTGAGAGATTTCTGGTAACTTCTAGAAGATTCTGGCGCTTCAACAGCATTAAGCAAGCAACCGATTGAAAACTGTAGAAAGCATTTTGAGACACGCAAGCATTTTAGGATAAATTCAGAACTTTGATAAGCTTTAGAAAACTTTCAATTCAATTTTCAGTCCTCCTGAAGTCTGTTTTTTTTTTTAAGATAATTCCCCAAGTCAAAAATTTAGTAAGTAGGTTGGCAACACAAGCCTTTTCTACATAAAAAATTTGAATGCATTGACAATTTTACATTGTATCAAAGTCTGCCAACATAATGTAAACAGACTTTACATTTGTTCGAGACAAACTGGAACTTGCAGGGACATTGTAAAACGTTACAGAACAGAACACTTTAGAATGAAACTAGAATTTCAGAAAAATTCTAGAACTAACCAGAACACTTTCGAACTTTCGGGAAAATTTAAAAAGACTTGAGATACTTTAAAGTTCAGGTTTAGATTCAAATTGAAATTTCCAGGAGTATTTTGGAACGCTCATAACTTTACAAATTATATGGAACTTTGGAAAACAATCCAGAACTAGAAACTTTCAAAATCGTCACATGACACTTTAGAACTGGAACATTTTCAGGCATTTTGTGACGCCCTAGAGCACTTTAGAATAAATTTAGAACTTTGATAAGCTTTAGAAGACTTTCAATTCAATTTTCAATCCTCCTATATTGTTTGACACAAACTGGAACTTGCAGGAACATTTTAAAACGTTACAGAACACTTTAGAATCAAATTAGAATTTCAGAACAATTCTAGAACGAACCAGAACACCTTCAAACTTTCGGGAACATTTAAAAAAGTTTGAGATACTTCAAAGTTTGGGTTTAGATTCAAGATAAAATTTCCAGGAGTATTGGAACGCTCTGGAACACTTTACAAATCATATGGAACTTCTGGAAACAATCTAGAACTGAAAACTTTCAAAATATCTCTGAATATTTCACTCATGTATAAATTTTTCCATAAGAGAAGTGACAAATCAAAAAATTACAGCGGTTATACAACTCACTGTACAGGGTGTCCCAAATTCGAGGGTGACCATTGAGATATCGGAAACTATTAGAGATACGAGGTTGGTTAAATTATGGCAAAGTTGCGCAATTTTATGACCAATAAAATGCCGTTTTGAAATTTGAAAAATTCCGAAGACTTCCAAAGATATTCGGAAAAAACGGAAATTTTGCAAAATCATTTTTATTTCTTCCTGAGTCCATTTCAAGAGCAATTTCAAAATAAATATCACTTCAACATTGTCACTTTTTCCCCTTTACAAGATGTTGCCACCAAATTTCAGGTTCGACGTTTCGTCTTTGGGCGACCATCATCAACTTTATTTTTTTAAATACGGACCATTATTTTTTATTTTAGATTTTGTGAGCCTCTGATGTCCCAAAACCTATGATGTTTCGCACTTATTTAATTATATATAATAATTATTATTAAAATTGAGCAACTTTGCCATAATTTAACCGACCTCGTATCTCTTATAGTTTCCGATATCTCAATGGTCACCCTCGAATTTGGGACACCCTGTACATTATTCCCATATGACACGAGAGGATTAACAAGTGATAATCCTTCCCATATGATACGAGAGGCTTAACAAGTGATAATCCTTTTGCAAGGTAACTGGTGTTTTGACATTTTTTGACAAAAAATTTAAATTTTTGATTCATGAAATTATTAATTAATAAAAAATCAAAGTTTAGTTCGTTGTATAACTTTTTGAATACCACTCGATGTTTCAGGATTACCTAATACTTTTACCTGACACTCAACGCGTTACCAGCAACACCACTCCTCCTTCGGAGTCGTGGTGTTGCTGCGTAATGCGTTTCGTGACAGGTAAACGTATTATCCGGTAATCCCGAAACCTCTTGTGGTATTACATTCTAAAATTACGTGAAATTATCACCTATACAAGTCAATTTAATATTTTGACGACACAGAAAAATTAATGTTTGTATTAGGCCTATTCGGGTTTGGAAAAAGGACGGTCCTAGAACGGTTCAAAACAATCGTCCAGTTTATTGATCAACAAAATAACAACGACTCGACTATCACAAAATTCAAAAATAAACTGTGCGATTCTTCTGGACCGTTCTAGAACTGTACTTTTTCCAAACCCGAATAGGCCTATTGTAAATTAGAGACGGGAATCAATTGTAACCATAGAAACACAAGTATTTGGTGTATTTGTCGGAAGCAAAAGCCATTAAAAATCAAAATGAATCGGTTTGGTGAAGTGAAAGA